ACTTTCGTCGCAATATTAATTTTTTTATTGCAGAGATTAAGGGATGAAACGGGGGTTAATGGATGGGGAATTTAATCCTCCATTGAAGAGTCTTTGTTTCACCCTTAATATTAATTAGTCGGCGAATAAATCAACTGAAAAACAAAGTAAACATTGAGTACAAGGAGGACAAAAATCCCCCTCCAAGCCTATCCCTGTCACAGCGGGACTGCTACTGCCGAGTGCCGAGTTACCCACGCACCCGACTCACATTTACCGACAATTCGACCGGAACGCCGCCTTTCCCGTGGGGTACCAACTAACTTTTTTGGAGTCAGTCAAACCCCCCGATCCGGGCCTCTACTCAGGTCTATCCTCTTTGACCTCAATAGTGGAAGTCGATTATAAAGGTTATAAAATTAGATATAGAAAAAAAACTAGCCGTTATTTCTCTTCATTCGGATTTTTTTCGTTAATAGTGGAAGTTGATTATAATAAAGATGATAAAATTAGAGAAAGCAGAGCCACTTTCGCAGCTGTTACTCTACTTTTCCTACTGTATTTCAATCTATATCTGAAAATGACCGCCGTTATAGTTCATGGCGCTGATCGGCCTCTGAAAAAACCGTTTGAATTCAAAAGTTGTTTATATAAAACAAAAGAGCGAGATAAAACTAATAAGATGTGAGTATACATTATTGCGTGTTCATTGTTGTCTTTTGACTGATCGTTTCAAGTGGTGGTGAAGGAATATCGTTCCTGGTCCTGGTCTGGGTTTTACCGGGAAAGTTGTGAGAATTAGTGTCTCTGTGACGCTACGGATTGACACAAATGTTTGAGGATCCAAAAATGACGATAAAAAATAGTTTTTGATGAACATCAATTCGTTTAATCGATCAGATTGAAACGGATTACAAATCTCTAAAGTTTTGGTTCTTTTCTAGTGCATGGTTTTGGTTTTTGTGGAGTTATTTAAGTATGTTTGGGTAGCTAACCTCAATTGTCTTGATTCCCGCCCAATTGTGTAGGAAAACCAATCATATCTTCGGATGTCACAGGTTAATTGAAATAAATTATTAATATGAATGAATGACAATCATCTTGATTGAATTGCGTGTGGGATGTGTCAAAACCTGATTTTGTGAATTCTTCATTTTTATTTCCAGGAATCCTTCGCAATTGGAGAAAAACTCTCGTCGATCACTCTCAGTACGTAGAATATTTTAAAATAATTGTTTTTTAAATCATTCTAGTGGCGAAAAATTTGAAGCTAAATAGTGGGCAATATTTTTCATTCATTTCATTTTTTAAGAGGATTAAAAAATATTACAGATTCCTTATAAAGTCCCTATGGTGTTGATTAGCTACTCCGCGAAATCATTTCATGAATTAACTTTTTGACACTCAGTGCGTGAGGCGCTGTTTCACGAACGAGCGAAGCGTTCACCGCCCACGCACTTCGTGTCAAAAAATATTATTCGATACACGGAAGTGAAGAACTTTTTCTGGCGAATATGAGGTTACAGAACGAGCCGAAGGCGAGTTCTGTAATCATATTCGCCAGAAAAGTTCTCCACGCCCTAGTATCGAAATGTACTATATTGCTAGTTTAATTAAATTTCTGGGATTTTTTTCATAAGGTCTTATATTTTTACCTAGATTTTGAAAGGTCCAAAATCGAGAAATCCACTGGAATCTCTGGAATCTGCAGCATCATCAACTGAAACTACACCATCGAGATTGAAGAGGAGAGTTAGTTTTGCTGAGAAAAAACATGTCAAGTGAGTAATATTTTCGTTGTCTTGGAAGACAAGTGAGAAATTGCTCTTGAATTGCACGTGAGGTATTCCATGTCAAATGAGTTAACGACTGATCCTCACCCTCTTGGAATTTGATCTCGATTTTTTTCTACGATTGGGGGGCTAGAAAAACTATCTTTCAATTTTTTCAAAGTTTTTTAACAGCTCATTTCGGAGATGTGATTTTTTCTTTGACCGAGTTCGAAGATGAAGACGATCTAATTGTTGTTTTGATTTTTAGAATAATTTTCAAAAATTTTGTATTTTATAAAAATTACAATTCCGAGGATATCTTTGTATATCATGCTCTAAATTCATTCAATGATGGCTGAAAATATTAGTTTCAAAGCCATTCTGTCGAAATTGAAAGATCGTTACGATACCTATCTTTGTTGGTTTAAGGATGTTCGACACCCTTTTAGCCAAAATTGACGTTGTTTTCATTTTTCTGGCAAATTATCGATGGGAGTGACGTGAAAAAATATAACGATTTTGTGGTTTGTCATTCTTTAATGGCTCACGAAGTTGCGTAGTGGTGCGATAATTTTCATGCGTTTTTTCTACAGTTTTGTGATTCTTTTTAAAAGTTTAGAGAAAACGCAGGAAAATGTTCGCACCACCTTAAAATTTCGTCAGTCATTAAATAATGACAAAACGCAAAAACGTTATATTTTTTCACGTCAATTCCATCATAAGTTTGCCAGAAAAATTAAAAAAACGTGAATTTTGGCAGAAAGGGTGTAGAACATCCTTAATTTTTATGATGATTTTTGTGAATTCAGAATTCTTCGTAAATTGCTTTGAAACTGAACTTTCTGATGGTTTCTTCAAATGTGATGTTTCGAATTCATAATATAGATATTCCATTCGATTTATTAAAGAATTCTAAAATTATTTTCACAACATTTAAAAGTTTGTTGATTTTGCATCTCCTGTACAATTTGCTTCCACTGATTATTTGAATAAAAAAAAGAAAGGTTAAAATTGATTCATTTACCATTAAAACGACCTACTTCAACTTTACTTTTATCGAATAAAAGGATGGTATAGAAATATGTTATTTCATATTTGAAATTTCATCAAATATTAAACCAAATTAAATATATAATACAATTGGTTAGAGAAGAAATTTAATTGAATTTAATAAAATGATATGAAACGATGAATTATATACTATAAAACCACATAATCTGCAAAATGACCGTTCGGAAGCACATTGCTAATTTATTAGTAAAACACTATACTGTATTAACGTAAAAGCAATTTTCCACTTGTTTTCCTCTTTTGAGGCCCAGATGGATCATATTTAGAACGTTATCTCGATTATTTCCATCCTCATAATTTAAAATATATTATAATTTTCATTGAATTTTACATCATGCAGAAGTGCCTAAAAATTATGATTGTACAATCAAAAAATGTAGAAAAATAACAGAGCATTTCGAAAGTCCGTTCTAATAAAGATTAAGAAATAAGTCTGATAGAGAGGAAATTGTAAATGGATAATTTATCATGGCAACTAACGATCTGACAAAGATTAGTTACTGTGACAAATGACAAACTAACAGCCATTAGATATAGTAAATTATTAATTTGCAATTTGCTCTCTATCGGATTTATTTCCCAATATTCTCAATATTATTTACGAATGCTCGTTGAAAATGTTCATTTTTTTTTTCAATTTTTTTTGATTGTAGAATCATAATTTTTGGGAGCTCCAAGGCTATGTAAAACTGAATGGCAATTGGAAAACATTTCGGATTAGCAAAATGAAAAAAACAACCAAGATCACGTTCGAAAGATGATACAGGTGTGCCGGAATAACAAAATTTTTCAGCCCTGATAGTTTTAATATTGTTGGATTTTTTAAATTTATTGACTATTCGGTATTGAATAACATGTTTTGCTATGAATTATAGTAATCGCAGTAATTAATTACCTTGATGGACAATTTTTTCTTCAATTTCAAATTACAATTATTGCAATATTAGAGAATTTATACAGAATTTTACTAGGTTTTAGTATTGAAAACTCCGTTGATTTCAGGGAAATGTGATGAAAATGTTACAAAATCACAAACATTGATGTGACTCATGCTTTGAACTCTATGAATAACTACAAAATTGAAGTTATTGAAGTTTCCTCATTTATTGAAGACTAAAAAATTCCGTGTTTCTGAATTTCTAATATGAATCAAAACCTCATGAATAACATCATTTCAAATTCAATTCAAAGTCGCAATGTTAAATATGATTTTTAGATTCTGAACTTAAACTTTCATTTTGGAACGTTGGAAAATAATTTTTTCCATCTAAAAAATTATTGAAGAGCTACAATTTTCAAGGATTACGTCATTTTCTCGTGCGTGATACATAAAAAATCAATTTTCCATCCCGACAATTTGTTTTTCAAATCAGAAAATTTGTTCATATTGAGGTAATATACAAAGAGGTTTCTACGATAGCTTGTGGCAGAGGGGGAACGAGAGGTCCGAAATGATCAAAAAAGTGGGACGCAGGGGAGACCAGGGCAGAATAAAATTCGAGGAAAAATGAAACAGTTATAATTTTTTCCATTCACAACCTCATCGAACCTTTTCATGTATTTCCTTATCTAAAAACAATAACGTTTTCAACTCATTTCGTTTAATTTTTATCAAACAGAACATATTATGAACAAATTTGGCACGCGGACGACTCGGGTATGATTCCGGACGGTGGGGGGAGGGGGGGTCGTAAAATCATTTTTTAATTCTCTAATTCTTACAGATTCATTCTCTGAGCGGGAGTCTCGCAAGGGACAACTGTCAAGCCTTTTCCCTCAAGTGAGATTTTTCCTTGGTCCTCAGCGAATGCTGTACAGGGGGTTGGAGGGGTGAGAAGGGAACAAAAAATCGTTAAAACCCGAGAGGGTATACGAAAGAACAAAAATTGTTATGAACAAATTAATGTATGAATCAATCAACAAATGTGAACTATAACAATTTTGCACTAGCGCACATGCACTGTACTCATGTAAATATCCGCTGAGTTGTTTGTTATATTCTGGATAATAGTAGAATACATACTAGCGAGGTTTTTCGTGTCAAAAATACATGAAGAGGACATATTCAGTATCGAAAAAATGATCATCAGTACTTGGTCCGCAGATAGAAAACCTACGGAGAAAATTCCATCCAAATGAAAATAAAAAAACACGAAACCTAATCTCAATCTGTCGCTTTGGAAGTGAAATAGAGCAAAAAAAAGCCCACCAAACTGTGCGTGTGATGCGTTTTCCACATTATTTCATATTGCCCCGCATTCCATTTTACCTCCCCATTTTCTTTTCCCCGGTCTCCCCTAATATTTGAATAGCCCCTGTAATCATTCGTTAGTCAGACCCGAGTGGGTAAAATCAACAGAACAGTCCACTAACTAAAGCCCCTCCTCCTCAGAGAATTCTGCGACTCTATGGAGCAGGGCACAGTCTGGGACAACACCTACGAGGAGAGCGACAGCTCTCACATGGCGAGAAGTCACCACGACGAGAATCATCAACCGCCAATCCACCCGGCGCCCCCACCCTTTCCCCTCCCCTCCCTGAGTGACTCTGACTCTTCCCTAATCTTCGAACACCCAAAAACCCCAGTTCTCGATCTAAACTTCGTAGGCCCCCACGGGATAGAACAGCACCCCGACCTCCTCCTAGAAAAAGAAAACATTCCGATGAATCCCATGGCGAGCCTATCAGAGCCAAGTGATGAGATGATTCCCCTTCCGCAGCTCTCCCCGGGGATTCCCTCCAGTTCTCACAAATTCGCTATCTACTGCGATGACGAAAACTCCCCTTCTTCCACAGAAAAATCAAAAAATCCTTCTGCAGATGAATCAGAAGATCGCACACTAACTTTGACAGACTCTCAATGCCTTGACTTCACTGAGGATGAACCTGAAAGGGCAGAAGTCATCCCATCTAAGCTCACGAAACCCAGAAGAAGTGCCTTCGATGGGATGGAGATGACGGAAGCCCTGTCATCAGTTCTGTCAAGCATGGAACCTAGAGACAAGACTAAAAATGTGACATCAGTATTAGCACAAAAGTCCATATGGAGTATACTACACGATGAAGAAGCAAACAAGGTATTAAAGCCTTCATCAAGAGACATGGAAGAGAGTGCAGGGACTCCCTCAACCAGGAAGAGTGTGTTAAACCTCGATGATCTGAGGTCATCAATTCTCCCATCATCAGAAACCCAAGAAAAGACTCAGTTTTTCCATCACGAAGTCGACGTGACTGGCCATATCCCATCCGTCTTAAATCCTCCTACAACCATCACAGGTGTTCTGAACTCTGATGAAATGGAAATGACAGAAGGAATAACTCCATCTTTCCCACCAACTGGAGACAACCTAGATGAGAGCGGAATGGAACTGACGAAGGCAATAACTCGTCTACAGCCGATAAACGAACCTGAAGACAGAACTCAATTCTTCAATGAAGTAGGCATGGAGATGACGGAAGTAATCAATCGTCTGCAGCCGATAAGCGAACCTGAATACCAAACCGAATTCTTTAATCAACGAAAGATGGAGATGACGGAAGTAATCAATCATCTGCAGCCGACAAGCGAACCTGAAGACAGAACCCAATTCTTTAAGCAAGGAGACGTGGAGATGAACGAAGCAATCAATCCTCTGCAGCCGATAAACGAACCTGAATACAGAACTCAATTCTTCTATCAAGGAGGGATGGAGATGACGGAAGCAATTAATCGTCTGCAGCCGACAAGCGAACCTGAAGACAGAACCCAATTCTTTAAGCAAGGAGACATGGAGATGACCGAAGCAATCAATTCTCTGCAGCCGATAAACGAACCTGAAGACAGAACTCAATTCTTCTATCAAAGAGGGATGGAGATGACGGAAGCAATCAATAATCTGCAGCCGACAAACGAACCTGAAGACAGAAATCAATTCTTCTATCAAGGAGGGATGGAGATGACGGAAGCAATTAATCGTCTGCAGCCGACAAGCGAACCTGAAGACAGAACCCAATTGTTCTACCAAGGAGGTATGGAGATGACCGAGGTTGTCCGTCCGCAGGCACAACTCCAGAACTCCCTGATGGAGTTGACAGAAGCCATCCCATCGCTGAAACGTCCTTACGGTGTCATCTCAACAAAAGATATTAGAGATTCAACTACCTCCAGTCCTCGACCAAAATCTTCGAAAGAATACGCTTCATCTTCTAAGAAGGCTCCTTCGAAGCAGGACCGGGACGCTCTGCATCGTCTCCTCCATCCAGACTCTCCTGAATTATCTTCCCCGAATCTGCAGAATGTATCGATGGAGTGCATAGCTGCACAATCAGGTGTGCAATTTCCGAAGAATTGTGGTCAAGACCTTCATCGTCTTCTTCACTCAGAAACCAAGTCTCCTCAGTTTTTCAATCAGAATCATCACGAAAACTTAACCAGTAGCTGTCATTCAACATCTCGTCAAGATCATGCTCAACAAAACAAGAATAATCTCCATCATCTTCACGAACCTGAAGGCAGAGCCTCTTCGCCGAATCTTGAGAATCAATCGATGGAGTTTACCTGCCGCATGGGACCTCAACTCGACCGTTTCGTAAACACTCGTCAGGATGATTCCATGGAGATTACTGAATGTCGCATTCCGGTGTCTATCAGACGAACAAGACTTGAAGATGTGAATATGCCTGTAGAAGCTAGCACGCCAATCCCAATAGTAATGTCTGATCCTTCTGAATCGTCCGGAGTCGAGTCTTCAAATTCATTCAAGGAGAATCGCACACCCCCCGGGGAGCAGTCAAAGATGCATCCAGTGGCTAGACCACTGTTTGAACGGCAAGATGAAGAGGTGAGTGATTCCACTCCAACTCCATTAGAAGCCTCCGAGGAATTTGCTGACACCATCAGATCGAGACCTACGATTAACGGAGGAAATCTCGAAGATGTGACTTTCGAATTGACAGGGGCTATTCCAAAACCTCTGGAGGATCATGGAGCATTATTATCTTCGGACCTGCAGAACATTGAAGCCCCATCTTTCATGTTTGCGGACAGCGTCAGTGATGAGAACAGCTTGCCAAGGATAGAGGCCAACAGGAGTAATGAAGGAGTGTCTTTGAGAGATGAAAGACCAAAAAGACATGTTGAAGGGGAACTTTTATGTCAAGATGCTGAGGCAATTAGACTTGGGGATCAAGAGATTACGTGTGATTTTCGCCCGGTGCCGATACCAGAGACAGAATTCACAGAGGAAATCAGCAATTTCGAGATGAGAAGAAGGACTCGAGTGCTTCAGAATAACGAAGAGGAGGAAATCGCGAGGAAACGGAGGACCTACAATATTCCAGAGGGAAGTACCCTGTCGACATCCGTTGCTAGTGAGGAAGAGTTGCCTGCAGTTGATCGCAGGAAGACTCACACAATCCGCAAGCATGAGGAAGAAGAAGAGGAAGTGATTCAACGGGTGGAGAAATCAAAAACGTATGTCATCACCAATCAGTCATCAAGCAAGTCTTTGGAAATAGATGGTCAAGTGAGAGTTGAAATGTTCAATAAGAATACTGTTGTTACTTATCAATCCAAAATGGATGATGGAGAAGGACAAACAGGTGATGCTGGAGAGGTTGAAGATACGGTTTTGGAAAGAAGAAAATGGTTTAGGTCAGACAATTATCATGTTAATGTTGTAAATGATGAGGTGAATGTAGAGTTTGATATTAGAGAGAGAGAAACGACTTCGGTTCCATCTATTTCCCGACGAGATGCAGTGGGAGAGGAAATGGATGGAGTGAGCAAGGACAAGGATGACACAGTAGACAAATCTGATCCCAGTCTAGAGCACCTTTCAGAGAATAAAGGAGAAGTGGAGATCCCCGAGAAATTATCTCGTCGTGCCCAAATCGTAAGAGAACATGATGCACTAGTCAGGGCGATCAAAAAGTCCAGAAAAATGGAGGAAATCATGCGTCAGAAAATGGCTGACATGCAAAATAAATCCCCAGAATCTTCTCCTGAGGTACTTGCCCATGATTCTCAGATGGAAGTTGATAAAGTTGAATTGAGTGCATTCGAGTCAATGAAACAGAGTTTAGAGGACCGGGCGTCCGGGGATTGTCTGTGGGTGCCTCTTACAATTTCAGAAGACAGAGTCTTTGTGGAGTTTAAGAAGACGGGATTTACCTTCGGGGCTACATTTATTGTTCCTGAGGATGAAGGTGGAATGGCGAGGATCAACAATCTTTATAAGTTAACTAGGTTAGCTGGCATTGAGCCCTCAATTCTCAAAATGACAGATCGCTTGATTGAAGATAGGATCAATACGGATGAATTGAAGAAGCAGTTCATAAGTTATGATGACGTTTTACCACTCATTGAAAGGGTCACTGAAAACGTCAGGTTTATCTACGATTTTTACGACGAATTGAAGAAACTGTATCGGTCAAATAAAATGGAGATTACGTTGGAGAGGGTATCCTTCCTCGTGATGTCAAAATCAGCAGATACTATTCTTGAGGTGTCCATCAACGTTAAGTCCTTCAATGAGATTGGACCGGACGACATCGATGTTAGGTGCTTCATTGGCAGTGTAAGGTATAGGAAAATAATGATGCACACACGAAGAAATTTTATACATTATTTTTCCCAACCGGATTTTCAATAATCAAAGCGCAGTATGAGATGCTACCCAACAGTTTTATTTCAGATATTTCCGTCTAGCTTTTGAATATTTCGCAGTACAGTAGACTCTCGCTAGCTGCTCATCGAAAGGGCTGTAGGGGTAGCATTTCGAAGAAATGAAAACAGCCCCCACTCCTCAACCAATGCCGATCCAAGTTCTCAGAAAAATGAAAGGGAATGAATAGTTTTATTTTCGAATAAAATTATCTAGACCTCTGTGGTTACGGACGGAGGACAAAAGAAAGCAATAAGACGGCCGAGAGTGGGGGGCAGCACTCGAGTATCCGAGGAGATTACTGCGAAAAACGAGCAACTAATGAGCGTGCAACAAGCGAGAGTCCACTGTAGCTCTTAATTTTTTCGTTTCATTTCAGATCGAATCTTGTCTTTGGCAGTCTACGGAAATCGGATTACACTGTTAGAAATTTTTTGGAATTTCATTGAAAATATTATAGTAAATCTCATGAGGGTGACATTGAATTAGTGGGAAAATGGTTATGAAATTGCCAATATGCAATGGGTTATGGTTGAATTGTCAATGAAACATGAAGATTTAATAACAGAATAACATTAATTTTCAAATCAATGTATTCTATTAACATAATTTATTCAAATTTTCCAGCAATTGACGCGCTGATGTTGACCACTAGACTCTCATTGACCACAATCCGATTGGGAATAATAATCTGACAAATACCCCTCGAGCTTCAAAATTAATCGGGTATTTCCCTCAAGCTCCTCTCCAAACAAACGATCGTGTCAAGTTTTGCTGATTACAAAATTCCGAGCGCTTGCACGAGGATATTTTATAGAAAAAAAATCAGTAGAATTTCATCTTTTTATACAAATTTTTGTATTGAGACATTTTTTATAGGAATTTCTCGACACAAAATTTCGTTTTTTACATTCGTTTTTTTTCTTTTATCATTCGAAAAATTAAACGAAAAACTTGAAATTTTTTAGACCAGAAAATTTTACAGAAAATATGTCAATAGAATAAGTTATATTCGATAGAAAATAAATTGAAATTCAATAGATTTTTTCGATGGATTTTTTTCGTACGTGTGATAATAATGTGATAAATGAAGTAATGGCGATTTTTATGTTTCAGGAAATCAGATATCAAGAATCTCATAAAGAATGTCAAGAGAAATCATAAATTTATTACAATGTACAAGAATGATGTTAAGGATTATATTGAGCTGATGGAGGCGGTGTCAGTGAAGAAATTGGGAGAATGATTCTAGGGTTTCTTCGTGTTGATGTAATTTTTTATTATTGTAGACGCCTGAATTATCTCAGAAGTCCATATTACGAGGAGAACTTTGAGTTTCATATTGTGAGACCCATATGAAGGGTGAAACTCATAGAATTGATGTCTTCAAACGGATTGAGAGAATTATTTCAGAGTTATAATTCTATTCTCCATATGAAGGCAATTATTTATTAGTGATAAAAAAAATATTGTAAAGCCTTCATATGTTAATATCGTTTAATATCGAAAACATTGTAATATTGTCGATGCAATTTTTTATTATTGAAGTCGTTTGAATCAATTCAAAGGGACATACTACGAATGTAATTTTGAGTCTCATCTCAGATTTCCATATGAAGGGCCAAATTGATAGAATTAGCTATTTTCAAAATGATTGGGGGAATTATTCCAGAGTTATAACTCTATTCTCCATATGGAGGCAATTATTGATTGTTGATAAGAAGAAAAATGCAGACTTCGTATGGTGAAAGATTCTAATATCATAATAAGGTTCTAAAATTGAATGTCAAATATTGCAATCAGATATAGGCTTTGTTGTACAATAAAATGTTACTTTATTTGCACTCCATTTTACCTCTTTTCTCGATGGATGTTTTATTAAGGGGCATGAACAACAAATTTGTAGCCTTCATACTACCCGTTGTGGTCAATAAAATCGTGAGTAATTGTGACATGTGCAATTGCTATTAGTTTTCTGACATTCTGTAATGGAAGTGCTGAATTTCACGAATAACCACCAATTTTTTAAATAATTGGATGATAAGAATATAATGAATTATTAAAATTACTGTTAGATTACACAAATTCACGTTTTTTTAGAATACACTGTTAAAAAATTTTGGCTAATATTTCCCGTATACTTTTCGGAAATTTTTATCGCATTTTAGCTCTACTGAAATTTCAAGGAATTTGGTCATTGAAAATTCAAAATTTCATGGAAAAATTGAAGTGAACTGTGAATTTCAGTTCAGTTATTCCCTGAAAATTGAAAGAAATCAGGAAAATTCCGGTAAATATGTTCTTAAATTTTCCATTAAATTTTGAAATTTTTACTGAAAGTACTTCAATGATCCTTCCATCGAATGGCAGAAGTTAAATTTCGATTTCTTGAATAATTTGTTTCCTATAGAAAAATTTAGCATTAATTTGGAAAAATTGGAAACAAACCCATTTTGCCCCATTATTTTCTTTCTTAATGAATAAAGATGGAGGGGCGAGGGAGAATTTTGAAAATTAGAAACGTACCCATTATGCCACGTTGTTTTGTTTCTCAATCAATGGGAGGGGGGGGGGGGCATTAATNGGGGGGGGGGTATTAATTTTTAAAAGTTAGTAACAATCCCTTTCTACCCCATTGTTTTTTTTTAATGAATAAAGATGGAGTGGGGGGGGGGGCGAATTTTGCCCCATGGTTTTTTTTCTCAGTGCAGAGGGGGATGAGTTACAATTTGAAAAATTAGTAACAAACCCATTTTACCCCATTGTTATTTTTTCTTAATGAATAAAGATGGAGTGGCGGAGGGGGGGGGGGAATTTTGAAAATTAGTAACGTACCCATTTTGCCTCGTTGTTTTGTTTCTCAATGAATGGGGGGGGTGACTTAATTTTTAAATGTTAGTAGCAAACCCATTTTACCCCTTTTTTTTCCTTAAATAAATAAAGGTGGAGTGGGGGGGGGGGGAATTTTGAAAATTAGTAACGNATTTTACCCCTTTTTTTTCCTTAAATAAATAAAGGTGGAGTGGGGGGGAGGGAGATTTTGAAAATTAGTAACGAAGCTATTTTGCCCCGTTCTTTTTTTTCTCAATGAATGGTGGAGGGGATACGGACGCGTTCTAAAAATTGCATTTTCGAACTTTTTGGATGATAATGGGTTGATATAACCCAAAAAATGCAAAACTTAAATTTGGTCGATTCCAATGCTTCCATCCGGAAGCAAAAGAAAGCTCATGATTGATTTATTCGGTTTATCTGTCGTATCGAAGAAGCCACACCTGAGTGATGTCTCTACAGGGGTTTAACGAATCGTCTTGATAAAATCCAAGTTTATTACATTAATTCCACGAAAGTAAGAAAAGAAAAAAAGAGTAAATAAAAGAACCAGAAATCCAAAGGGTTTAATTATTCATCCCCCCCCCCCCCCAATGAACCACGGTTAGTTCAGGCGAGGAACAGTACATGATTTTTATCATGTTATATTAATATTAGTATTGTGTCACAATTTTTCTGCAGAAAAGCTTGGAGAAAACAACACGTACGAATGAGATTCATATAAAAAAGTTAGTGCATTCGCCAGAAAAGTCTATTATTGCATTCCTTTTGGAATTCTTTTAAAAACTTGATTTATTAGTTTTTCGCTGATTCTATGAGAATTGATATTAGTAATCAAATACCAATTTACTATGATTGAGTTGATTTGGCGGTTTGCGAAAGGTTCCGAGTTGAAATCCCGGCCGGGTAGAATAGTGCGATCTAACCATTTAAAGTCTTGATCATCATCGCAGTATACCCTAACCGGGTCGAAGCAATGTAAAATAACGATAAAAAAAAAAGAATTGGTATTATAAGAGCTACAATCATGCTAAATTTCAATCTCCTACCTCAATTTTTCCTTGAGTTATCGCGCGTACAAGGAATTTAGGCAAAAGGAGCAAAATTAGAAATATCTCGAAAACATCGTATGAATGAGTATACATATTTTGATTGATCTAGATAGAAGCCATCGAGAGTGTGGTCTAGGATGTAGTCTATAACAAACTATAAAAAATGCGTCGATATTCCTAAGGAGGCTTGTGACTGCGTATTTTTCCGATAGGTAACAGTTTTGGTGAGTATGAAAACCGTATGAGAATATATAGGAATATAGAGGTCATATTTAATACAATGTGTAATAATTTACTCGCAGTTCACTACGAGCAACTAATAATCTAGTCACTGTTTTGTGGAATCTGTTTATTCTCGTTCTTAATAATAATTAGATTTCCCCCACGATATCTGTACACAATTCGACGGTAAGAAACGGAATAGGTTGAAAATGTAACTTTCTGAAAATGTAACGATTTCGGTTGGTAGGGTAGAAGCTAGAATGAGTTCGTAGAGCCGCCTATAGACAAAGTGAAGAAATGCGATCGAAGCAAACTCAAGAGATGGCGGGAATGTCGGAAACATTATGGAGATAATGAGGTCTCACATAAAGAAGGTAGAGATCTGTTTATCACAAACAACTTATATTTATTCAGTCCAATCAATGGATAATTAATAGTGAATACAAAAGATAAGACGCCACAGATATGGTGGGTTAGATGAGATGCGATGAATAATAATAATAATTCGGATGATTTCGTGAAGCTCCGCTAGCCCGATCGCGGGACTAGTATCTGTTTGCGTCGTTGGCGCTGAGGGCGAGCTCCGTCGGTAACGCTGAGTTCTGGTTGAGCCTCAGCCGCCACAACATGATCGTAGCAGTGGCACTCATGTTCAATAATTGACAATAATATGAATGACACCAATCCCAACTTGGTGCTTCCATTGGAATCGAAGCACAGGAAACAGTTGAGAGTTAGTTCCAGGGGGTTATGGGAACTCTCTGAAGTCTTCACAGTTCAGACTTCAGTTTCGGGGGGTTTTAGGTTGTCTTCAAACTCTTAATATTTTTCGCAGTTGAATGGGGGGGAGGGTTTCGTGTGGTCTACGAACTCTTAACTGTTATTAGAGTTAAGAGTTCAATGTTGGCAGGTTCTGGGTAAAGGTAGGGGGTGGGGGTCTCATATGCTCTCAGAACTCTTGACTATCATTAAAAATGAGAGTTTAGTGTCGACGAGTGTGCTCTCTGAACTCTTAACTGTCGTCAGAGTTAAGAGTTCAGCGACGGGCGGTTCTGGAGAGAGGAAGGGGGGGCCTCATGTGTTCTCTGCACTCTTATGTCAAAGACCATTTTTTATTTGAAACTTTTTTTTATGCGAAACTAAATGGTGGCAATATATGCATTTAAACAATTAAATTGCTAATAATTATTGAAGGCCTAACTTATTGGCAAAAAAAACACATTCGTTTTCAGCACATCAAAATATATAACATACCCAAGTTTCAAGACTTTACATCTATTTCATACCTTTTGACTTCAGCGTATCGACTAACAATGAGGTGGGTCATTCCACGTCTCTAGCCTTTAGGGCCATACGGGCCACATAGGCTACGGTGATCAAGAGGGTCAAAATCCCTTATTTGACATTTACGAAAGTCCGTTTGATGTTACAAAGGGTAACGGGAGTAAACTTCTATGAACATAGTGACCCTGGTGAATGCTAAAAAAGTCTAGAATATTCTAAAATTTTGTCGGAGCACCTAAAGAGTGTATCGATGATGGAGTTTTCGGTTTGGAGTTTTTTTATAACTTTCTACCCTGGCGAGTATCTTGCCCCTCAGTTACGGGGCAGTTTTGGGGCAGTTGTTTTTGGGGTTAAAACAATGGGGGGAGGTCCCAAAACAATGTAAAAATTAATTAATTAATTATATATAGGTAATCCGATGGTTAATTGTGTTGTTATTCATTAGTTTAATAAAATAATTACTAGTATACTGGAGGGTAATACAGGCCTGTAGGGAAAATACCGCGAGATGGCGGTAGTATCGACTTCTTGACTCGTTTGGCCTGGTACACGGGCGCGGCGGGAAAATAGAATTTCAAAAAGTGGGGTGGTGGTCAAATATCGCGCAAGGTATTGATGTATGGGGTGGAGACCCCACGTATGGTTGAGGGGTGAGAATATTATTATATTTTATCATCATATATGTTTCGTTATCTAATGATATATTGATGATATACTGATATCTACATTATATATACATATATCTCTACATAAAAAATGAGAAGGGCGAGGGGGGGGGGGTGAAAATTCAGGCAACGTTCAGGGTCAGGGGGGGTGAGCCTGTATGGGGTGGGGGTGATAATATTTATATATCCTTTTAATATATATTTTTTAGCACATATTCCTATATCATGTATATATTTCACATATATCCGTTTCTATAACAAAAAAAATGGGAGGGGGGTATTCAAAATACGCAAAGATTTAGGGCCGGGGGGAGCCTTTATGGGGTGGGGGTGATAATATTTATATATCCTTTAAATATATATTTTTTAGTACATATTTCTATACTATGTATATATTTCGTATATATCCCTTTCAATGATAAAAAATGGGGGGGGGGGGGTATTCAAAGGCCGCCAAGATTCAGGCGACATTCAGGGTCAGAGGGGCGGTAATATTTATTTATGTTTTTGAAATGTATGTCGTTGACGCTCATCGCTCACCGCGGAAAAACATATATGTGGATATTTTTATGCGACATATGTGTAATATATATGGAAGATATATTTGATTACCTAAAATTGACAAATATGTCGCATTTATACTCTATTCCGTACGGGCATGTCGCGAATATTCATACATATTTTTGAAATATATTTCCTATGACATATTGCTATATCATGTACAATATATATACATATCTCTCAACATAAATGGAAACATCAAAAGGAGGGGGGTAAATAATGAAAGAATGCCA